AAAGGAAAAGGAACATGAAATGGAAACTTGGAGTTGTAAAGGGGTTTGTTTATAGGGATCTGCAGGTTTTAGGGTTTAGGGTACGAAAAGGGCGTACATACGGGTATGTTAGCGTAATGGAAAAGGACATCATGACAACTGCTATTGCATGTAGGTTTCAAGGAAGTCCCTGCACCACCCTATGTAACAACAGATGCACCCCAATATGCTATGGTCCCCCTTGAAGCCGAAAGGGGTTACATTGGGGTTATAATTATTTAGGGTTTTGGGTTTAGGGTTTAGGTAGTGTTTTTTCAGGTTTCTTGTTACGAGGAAGGATTCTGAACTTCTCGGTTTTTGGCCTCTTCTGTTCCTTCGTCTCTGCTAACAATGAAATCTTGCACGGCTTTATTATGCATATCGGCGACCGTGACAGCCCACAACATTTTGATGACATATTCTCAGGGCCTTGGTTTTCGTCTTTCATGGTTAGCGGGGCATGGCGATTGCTGAGCTCCGCAGTTCACGGTGTGGGGAATTCTCCGGCGGGTAATGCTTTGCACTTGCAGCTGTGCAATAGTTCGTGAAATTAAGGCAATGCTGGATACTGTGAGTCTTACACTAGGGAATAAGGGAATACGTTATAGAGGGATTAGATTGGGATTCTACTCCTTTATTCCCTACTCAGTCGTATCCGCATTTGCTGCAGTCCTGTTGTTTTATTTGCTGTGCCTTGAGACGTTGCTGTCAGGTTATGAAGTCTAATCCCTAATAAGCCCGGCCCACCACCCCTTCCCATAACAACCCTCCGAATATAACAGCAAAATATATAAGGGGAATATGTACAGAGGGATTCGGAGAGCGTTATTCGGGGGAGGTGGTTGCTTCTCGCGTTCTTTAAGGTTGAGGGCTATTGTACCTGCCAGTAGTTCTCTTGCAAGCATCGCTCTTGATGTCTCCTAGTTCCTAGTAGGTGTGCCCAGACCGATGCTTAGATCCATTAGCTTTACGCAACTGTCCGTTTGCTGAATGTGCCCCTGCGCAATTTTCAAAAAACTTCCAAACAGTGTGTTGGCATGCCCCCGTGCACTTTAAAACCCGCAGGTACGGTAGGCATGGGGTGCGAAGTGCCCCGCCTAGGTTGGCATCCCACAAGAGTGCGTCCAACATCAGGCGCGCTGCAGCAATGATCACACCAACCCCTACCAATATAGCTACCAGGTGCTCAACGGAGAATGATTTGAGAACTGAGCCGTATAACAGTCCTACATATTCCCATAGTCGTCCCTGCCTGTAACATACTGAAAGTAAGCTGGCCCAGGCATACATGAGATGGTTACAGCGGAAATACCGAGAAAGACTGTATAGCAGGTTAACAATCTGGAATATGCATTCTCAGATGACCAAATGAAACTGGGACACGGCGTTTACAGTCCATAATCCCTACAAATCCTCATGCAATCCCAGTTTCCATGTCATTTTCCGTGTCCTGTTCCATGTGGTTCTCCATTATTTCTAAACCCTGATTCAAACCCACATCTTCCTGCATGACCCCTTTAAACCCCTACTTGCGCATACATCACCCCTACGAACCACTTTCCGGCCCCCACCTTGAACATATGAGCTAGAATCCAAACTCTTTAAAGAGGATTGTATAAGGTCTGAGAGTTTAGGGTCTAAAGCCCTACATCGTCAAGCTGAAGCTTGATGGTTAACAGCACGGCCAAACAGACTGCAGCCAACATAGGGCTCCTATTTGAGTGATTTTCAAGTTCAACATCTCACGCATCTAGCTTCGGCATCCGCATCCGCAAGCTGAGCTAGGTCTGCAAGAACAAGGACCAATATGCGGTTAACAAAATCTTGCTTTTTTTATCGTTTGAAGTTGTCAAAGAGGGGATAGTTTTGGGGGTTATTTTAGGGGTTATAAAGGGGGATTTTGGGAGTTTAGACTATAGCTCATATGAGATGAGGGCGTTCCCTCATGCCGAGGCCAAGAAAGGCCAACAGCAGAAGAAAGCCAAGCAGGCTTCAAACATCGTCAAATCGTGATGCCGCGCAGAAAAAGACCTGGTCTTTGGGCTTAGGGTTCAGGGTATCAACCAATGAGTGCAGCCACCCCACACGATGGTTTGCATACGGAATTGCCCCAACATGGCCTGATTTCAGGATTTTGAATTGTTACAATTTGTGCAAAAACGCATGAAGTGAACTGGTGCTGGGCTGTCAAGCGGTGTTGGATACAGCTGCTTAGCAGGAGCCATTGCCTGTGTCGTTGCTCTCGCTGCGCCTCGGGTAGGCTTTTGAAGCTTTGTAGATTTAATATTCGCTGCAACATGCCGCGTCGGCGCAGAATTGGAGGCAAGGGGTTGCAAGTTGAAGATTTGGGGCTTAGGATTTAGGGTCGAGGGTTTAGGGTTTAGGATGTAGGGTTTAGGGTTTAGGGTTTAAGATGTAGGGCTTAGGGTTTAGGGAAGCACAGGAGGTTTGTATGCTGGCATCTTCGGCAGTGCCGAGCAAGATGAGTTAGTAAGTTGGTAGTTTCCATTACTAAGCGAACCTCAATGTTAGGGCTTAGGGTTGAGGGCTTAGGCGGACCCCAACATGGGGGGTTTCCCAGAACTAGGGGTACCATTTTGGGGGGTCCCCATGATAAGGATCATAGTATTTGGGGTCCATATTGGGGTTCCCCCTCTTTAGGGAAGCTACCATATCTTCCTTCTAGAGTCAGCTACAGGAAATAGACCTCAAACTCCTCGGCTTGGAGACGCTTCATCTAGCAACTCCTGAGGTTCGTCTAGCCCGTCCCCTCTTACAGCTACTAACCATGGGCCTAATATAGGGCCATGGCTATAAAGGGGTATACGGGGGTATACAGGGGTATGCAGGGGTATACAGGGGTGTATAGGATTATGACATAGAGTTCAAAGATTGAGGGTTACCCTAAACCTTAAACCGTAAACTATGAACGCTTAACTCTATGAACCCTAAACTCTGAACCCTAAACCCTAAACCTCAAACTGTAAACTGCTAATCCACTTCAACCAATTAACTTCGCCTTTCGCCGCTTGATTGGGCCAAGATTGGCCTCCATTTTTCTCCAGGGTTTTGGGTTTTGATTTTAAGTTCTAAGGTTTAAGTTTTAGGGTTTCGGGTGTAGGGTTAGGTTTTAGGGGCTAGGGTTTATAGAGTTTAGGGTCTAGGGGTTACGTAGGGTCCAGGGTGAGTACCAGCATAAAGATTTTCCTGAGTGAGTTTGGTCCGGTGTTCTCGTTGTTATGACTTGAGGGGGGGAACAGCTGTTGAAAGACGCTCTTAGCCGCTCCTAGGGCCCCTTATCTGAAACCCTAAAGGTAAGTCCTAAACCCGAAAGCCTGAAGCGTAACCCCAGGCCCCTACCTCTAAACCCTAAATCCTAAAGCCACTAAACTGCTCCTGCGTAACTACGCATTTCCGGACCCCCTGGCGGACGGAAACGAGGGGCTGCAAAAAAAAAAAAAAAAAAAACAACACTAAACTCTAAAGCCTTAAACCCCTAAACCCTAAACCTTTTGGGATGTAGGCCTCAGTGTGGCTTTGTGCCTCGCAGCGACTGGATGCTTCGCTTGTCAGCTGGCCTTTAGCAGGCCTCGGCTCAGGGTTTGGGGCCACATTCAGACGGAGATGTAGGGATTATATAGAGAGATATAGGGATGTATAGGGTTTAGGGATTAGGGTTTGGGTCTAGAGTTTCCGTATTTTTTGGGGGTCCCCATAGAAAGGATTATAGTATTTTGGGGTCTATATTGGTGGTTCGGCTTGGGGAAAATTACCATACTTAAATAGATGTGCATATATGTGTATCGATATGCGTATGTGTCTATACATATACATACCTTTGTGTGTGTATATATATATATGCGCATACATGATTCTACGTGTATGCTTATGTGCGCATGTATACATGTGTGCATATATATGTATATATGGATAGAGGGTCCCTTTAACTGCTATGGGTACAAGTAGGGCTTAGGGCTTCGGTCTGAGAATTGAAAACCAAGTGGAACATTAATTACATGGAAACATGACATGGCAAGTGGGTCTATGGGTATTGGGTTAGGTTTCGGCTATCTCACATGTGTACATTAATTATACACAAGCTTGCATTTCTTTAAGCCCTCAAATCCCAAATCCTGAGCCTTTCGCCGTTAAATCTTAAGTTGCACGGGAGGTTCTCAGGTCTAAGAGCTTTGCGGAGCTAGGGTTCTCGGGGAGTTAGAGTTGGGGGGTTTAGGGGCCTAGTTTAGGGTTGAGGGTTGGCAAGAACTGAAGTCCGAACATTGCATAAGCCTCCTCCCAAACGGGGCGTCATACGGAGTTGATAAGAATTCCCCAAGGGTTACAGGGGCTTTCAAGCGTTTGGTGCTTCTTCCAGGAATGACAGGGGGGTGTTCAAGTTTTCCTTGCCCGCAAAAAATCAGGAATATGTTGTGGAGGGGGCGCAGAAGTCAACATTCAGGATTCCTTTCCTGGCAGTGTTTGCGGTTTAAGGGTTTATGGTTTAGGGTTTAGGGGTCAGATGGAGATTGTACGGAGTTTGAGGGGCTGTGTAGAGGTTCAAACCTTGGGCACCCTGCAACAAGATCTTGAAGTCTTTGGGGTCTAGGGCTTAGGGTTTTTGAAAAGACGGCCATTTAGGGGTTGAAACTTTGTTTCCGCCGCTGCGCGCCACGTTGGAAATTGCACCACCTCTTATAGCTTGTAAGCCAACCCTATATATCGCTATTATTTTGAACCCTGTATATCCTCACAAATCCCTATATAACCTTACATATCGCCTATTATTCCTTTAAAGTGTACGAGAACTTAGATAAAGCTGGGAAGGTCAAACTGTTAACTTTGCACCATAGGCCTGCCCAAAAAAGAATCCGCAGCATGCTTTCCAGCTCTTCCCAGTTCACAAAATCAGGGAATGAATAGTCTAAACTCCTGAAGGCGGTTATATAGGGGACTATGTAGGGAAGTAGTATAGGAGTTTATAAGGAGGATACTAGGAGTTTAGACTATAGCTTGAGTAACCTTGCAGAAGGGCCCACTGTGATCCCGCGTCCGTTCATCAAGCTCTAAATAGTAGGTTGTGTGATAAGGGGACCCCAAGGGAGACCCGAGCCTCAAGGGTTTAGGGTTTATTGTGTTTAGGGTTCAGGGTTGAGGGTTTAGGGTTCAGGGCAGGGGAATATCAGAGGCTCCTGGAACAATAGGGAGGCCTTTGTGGGGGGTCCACATAATAACAAGGACTGCAGTAAATTTTAGGGGTCCAGGTTGGGGTCATCTAGTCTATGGGAAGCTCCATACAAGTATGTCATCCGCTCACATCAGCCATTCTCAGCTCTGAAAACTCTATCCCTAAACCCTAACCCTAAACCCCTAAATCCTGAACCCTAGAATTCCTTCATCCTCGCAAAAATCCTAAACACAGAACTCTATACCCTAAAGCTGAAACCCACAATCTGCAAGTGCCCCCAGTAAATCTTAGGCTCTCAATCTTAAACCCTGCATCCTGACCCTCAACTGCCAGAATGGCAGTTTTCAGAATTAAGGGTCTCCCGTATATTTCAAATACGCAGTTGTTTTGGCCCAAGCCCCTATGCCTAAACCTAAACGGCATATCCTTATAATTCCCTCAGCTTCCATGTCATCATGGGTTTGATTCTCCGCTGCGACCCTTTATACCCTCAATACCCTCAACCCTACGAAAACCCTGGCCTATGTACATAAAGATTTATCCCCATGTCACCGTGTCTATCCCAATATTCCCCGTTAAAAGTACCCTAGACCCTAAACCTTGCATGCCGCCTCCATCCTTTGCGCAGGCCTTGGATGGCCAGAAAGAGCCAGGCCAGTTGCGGCTAAGAAGACGGTTGAGGGCTTAGTTTAAGTTGAAGGTTTGGGGTTCGTAGTCCCCCTTAAGTAGATAGAATAGGGCTTTGGGCAAAGTACAATAAGATCCCATATACCCCATATTCTATCCAAACTTGAGTGGGACTATATATCCAACCCTAAACCCTACACCCTGAATAGAAGTTTCCATTTTCTTTTCCATTGTCCCCTAAACCCTAAACCCCCTAAACCCTAAACCCCCTGCAACATCATCAAGGGTGACTAGTGAGAGTGGGTTTCTTTTTCAGGGGCGGTGGCTGCTTGTGCAGTTGGAGTCAGCTCAGCTTCCGCT